TAAGACCCAAAAATGTCTGACACGTCATAAGACAGTGATACGGGGCTGGAGTGCATACGAAAAGCAATGCTTCTGGGAACATACGCCGCTCATGTAAGCGAAAAGGAAGTCTGTCGATATCTTCGCGGTTAACTTGGAATTCTATTGTATCCGCACCGGTTGTCCTTGTAGCCCTGAGCATATGGTGCAGATGCTGCAAAGCGAAACTGTCGTCATGCAGAAGGAAAAGGAGGAATGAAGTCGTCGTCACGTTCACGAAATTCGATATACAGAACGACAATGAAATCGCACTTAGGTTGCAGCATGTCCCAGTTCCGGTGGTATCAAAGACGAGCTTGAAGTGATTTTGGTCATATTAATTGATGGTACCTTGAAGAAAACGGAAATTCATCGTAACCGAGCGCTATTATTTGTGTTATCTTATAGTCAAACACGGAATAGAAACAAACAGAAAAACATTTGAATATTGCAAGTCTTTTATGCTCTTCAATTTAAATATAGATACCACATTCGTTTTTTGGTTGTTTTGCCGCATATGCTTAAGGGGAAATAAAGCAATCAACTTTTACTGACAGATATTCAACTTTGAAACAGTTATGCTAAACCAAAGAAATATCGCGGCTTCTGCACGTCTCTGAGGTATTAATTTCTAACATGCTCGTGTTTTAAAATATCACGTTTTTTTTCTGCAGTATAAAGCAGAATTTTCTAGAAGCTGAATACCAAGTAGATTTAAAGCTTCAACTTCAACGTCGAGCTTATTTTCTCTCATTTTTTGTAATTTCCCGATTCATCTTGACCGGTCTTTTTTTAAAATGTTCACAAAGAAGTTTGCAGAAATATTTTACTGCGAAATTCACTAGTAGTTCTAAAAGTGATTAAAAATATTCATCTTTAAAATTTGCATGTGAAGAACTGGCCAAGTGTGCCACCCCAGCCTGGAAGAACCACGTCTTTTGCCTTAGGAATGTGCATCAATCTGGACATTAAGTCGGCTTGTACTTCGCGAAGTTTAGCTGCATTGTTTCCAAAGAAGTTCCATTTGCCATTTTGCGCAGCGTCGAGGAATGCTAGATCCTCCAGATCAGTACAGTTGAAATGAGCCGAACATGCTAAACAAAGCAAAAAATTATTGTTGATTATAAATGTAGTAAACTGACTGAAATGGTTGGGCAATAACTCATAGCAGTACTCACCGTTGTACAAAGCAGTTTCAAATAGCTGTACACCGTCAGCTTTCTTCAACGGCTCTTGTCTGGTGCATGGATTTGGTGCTGAAAATTGCTTACATTTATTATTTTCTACTGAGCCGTGAAACAGAAAGGAACCCAAAAAATGCAGTTTATTTGTTTTACCTTCTGGGAGACATTCGAACAGTTGCTTGACACTCTTGTTCTTAAATTCTT